CTCAAGGCCGACGAGTCATATACCCCTGGTGCCATTATTAAGAACTGGAACAAGGTTGTCGACTACTCCAACCCTCAGTACCCTACGGGGCCCAACGATTTCCTCACATTGCTTGAGGAGTCTATGAAGATGGGACCTTCAGAGCAGGGCGAGAAGCTCGACTTCACTGGCCGTGTCGCTCTCGTCACTGGCGGTGGTGCTGGTATCGGCCGTGTCTACGCTCTGGCCTTTGCCAAGCACGGTGCTTCAGTTGTGGTCAACGATCTTGCTGATCCCGAGCCTGTGGTTGCTGAGATCAAGAAGCTCGGTGGCAAGGCCGTTGGTGTCAAGGCCTCAGCTGAGGATGGTGAGAAGGTTGTCAAGGCTGCTATTGACGCATTTGGCCGTGTTGATATCGTCATCAACAATGCCGGCATCCTCCGCGACAAGGCTTTCTCCAACATGAACGACGAGCTCTGGGACCCCGTCCTGAATGTGCATCTCCGTGGTACCTATAAGGTCACCAAGGCTGCTTGGCCTTACTTCCTCAAGCAGAAGTACGGACGTGTCCTGAACACTACTTCAACCAGTGGTATCTACGGCAACTTTGGCCAGGCCAACTACGCTGCTGCTGTAAGTTCTCAATATCTGCTCATTATGATAATTGCTAACGGTCATAGAAATGTGGTATCCTTGGTTTCTCTCGAGCTCTTGCTCTTGAGGGTCAGAAGTACGGCATCTATGTTAACACTATCGCCCCCAATGCCGGCACTGCTATGACTGCCACCATCATGCCCGAGGAGATGGTTCAGGCTTTCAAGCCTGACTACATTGCGCCCCTTGTCCTCGCTCTCTGCAGCGACAAGTGCCCCAACCCTACTGGTGGTTTGTACGAGGTTGGCAGCGGCTGGTGCGGTCAGACTCGATGGCAACGAACCGGTGGACATGGCTTCCCCGTTGATGTCACCCTCACCCCCGAGGAGGTCCTCAAGAACTGGAAGGACATCGTCACCTTTGACGGCCGTGCCGACCACCCCTCCAAGTCCCAGGACTCGATCGGTAAGATCATGGCCAACTTGGAGAACCGCTCTAAGCCTAAGGAGTCATCTGGCGAGACCAACTACCTTAAGGTCATCGAGGAAACTCTCAAGAAGGAGGGCAAGCCTACTGAGTACAAGTACGAGGAGCGCGATGTCATCCTCTACAACCTCGGTGTTGGTGCCAAGCGCACTGATCTCAAGTACGTCTTCGAGGGCTCGGATGACTTCCAGGTCATTCCCACCTTTGGTGTCATCCCTCCTTTCAACGCGGAGATGCCATTCGAGTTTGACAACATTGTGCCCAACTTCTCTCCTATGATGCTTCTTCACGGTGAGCAATATCTTGAGATCCGCAAGTTCCCCATCCCCACCAATGCTCGCCTTGTTACCCGAGGTCGTCTCCTTGAGGTCATCGACAAGGGTAATGCCTCTATCGCTCGAACATCCACCACTACCGTCGACGCCAACACTGGCGAGGACGTCTTCTACAATGAAGCCAACGTCTTCCTCCGTGGCGCCGGTGGTTTCGGCGGTCCCAAGCGCGGTGCTGACCGTGGTGCTTCCACTGCTGCCAACAAGCCCCCTGCTCGTGCCCCTGATGTTGTCGTTGAGTCACCTACCCATGATGACCAGGCTGCCATCTACCGATTGAGCGGTGATTACAAGTGAGTTTTACTACCATCCACAATTTGAATCATAACTAACCTGTGTAGCCCTCTCCACATCGACCCTGCCTTTGCCAAGGTCGGTGGCTTCAAGGCCCCTATTCTACACGGTCTCTGCTCCTTCGGCATCGCTGGAAAGGCCGTCTACGAGCGCTTTGGTGCCTTCAAGAACATCAAGGTCCGCTTTGCTGGTGTTGTGATTCCTGGTCAGACCCTTATCACAGAGATGTGGCGAGAAGGCAACAAGATCATCTTCCAGACCAAGGTTAAGGAAACTGGCAAGCCTGCCATCGCCGGAGCGGCTGCTGAGCTCAGGACCGACGGCAAGAGCAAGCTCTAAACAAAATTCAGCACGACCAACGGAGTTTCTGCAATGGGATATGCATGTACTATCATAAAGTTTGTATTGTAGTTGAGTGATGTGATTTTTATCATGTCCTGTTTTGCCCAATCTTATATGCCAAATTCAATACCAATTTCTTAAATTTGTAAGCCACAAGACGCCCTGTGCCCATCCTGATGTTTATGTTTGTGAAAGTCGTTAAGCCTGCGCCTGAAGTCACAATAAGGCTTCATTGAACCATCTTGCTGTACGCCGTTACTCGAAAAGAAAAAAGAGAACAAAGACCCTAACCCTAAACAAAAAGCGTTTCTACGACCAGATCCAACACTTCCGAAAGAGCGGGAATCCGGCCGCTGAAGAGAACAAGCTCAACACTTACGTTCATCCTATTCGCCGCAACGCCTGTTTCAAGGAACACCCGCTCAGTACCTGATAATTCTCGGTTCTCCATGTCTTTCCACTTGCGCTCAGCCTCTTCGCGCGCGGCTTGCAAAACCTGTTCTGTATCCTCAGATTCCCAGAGATTGCACCGGTCACACTCCTTGCAGGGTGTGGCATCACCTTCTGGGCGAAAATGATCACAAAAGTGTCGATATCCTTCATCAGTGAGGTCGGCGCGACAGATATAGCACATCTTGTAGCCGCAGGGACACGTGAGTTTATTGCAACCTGCATTCTTGACGAAAGATGTGTTGCAGCGGGGACAGACACGCTTTATAGCCATGCTCATGGCCTGCTCGACCTGTGTGCGTAGGGCGACGAGCGAGGATTCGTTGCATACGTGGATATCCTTCCACGATTTGTGGCATGAGAGGCACGACATACGGCCGCAGCTGGGACTTTGGCAGATGAATTTGGTACCGCGACGACGACGACGGTGACGGTTGAGGGCTTTGGACCACTCCACTGATATGTAGTCGCCAAAGGACTGCTGTGTGCTGAGAAGGAGGCAAATGAATGAGGATACGAGGACGAACGGGAAGACAAACGGGAGGGTGCCGATACAGAGAACGAGGAAAAAGAGGTTGTAGATGCTATCCGACTTGATGCGAAGAGCAGATTCGTGCGCTGGCGTGTATATGTCATCTATCTCGGCATAGTCACAGAAGGGACACCGGACTAGAGGGAGGTTGGATGCCAGAAGGCTGTGCTCTGCTAGTCGGCAGTCAAGCCTGTGCAGAATTTCTGGTCCCATCTTTTCTTCCTCCATGGCACGACGGATATGATCTGGCGGGATATGTCCAGGACATCCATCACCGTCTGAAGAGAGGCACTTGAGCGTTCCCGTTTCAGGGTTGATGCTGCTTTGCCAGCCTTGTCCAAAGACTGCTTCTTTAATGGAGTGCTGTACACATCGGTAGCAGACGAGATGGCCCTCACGGTTGCAGTGCGTAAACTCCTCAAAGGCTGCTGATATGAAGCAGCAGACACACTCGTGCGTTGCATCTGCCCTTTCGGCCTCCTCGTTGTTGAGGATGACTGCAAGTCCCCTGTCTCTATCCTCTCTGTCCCTTCTGTCCTTCTCTTTCAACGGCGCCACCAAGGTATCATACAGTTCGCGGTCCAGTTCTGCGCTGCCTGTGGCTCGAATGGTGGGAGTAATGGAGCCCTGGCCGGTTGAGCGCCACGATACCAGTGGGTGATTCTCTGCCTCGCCCGTAGCGATAGGCTTCCTTCTGAAAAACAACGATGATATTGTGAAACGCCATGACTTGGAGGATAGAGTAACGAGGGTCTGGCGGGCCTCGAGGTAGGAATAGTTGGACTCGGCAAGGACGGCGTTTATGGTAGACCGCGACAGGCCCTTGAATTCATGCCATGCCAGATTTTGTACGGCTCTCTTGTACTCCTTGCTCTTGAAGACCTCTGCTTTGGGTATCGCCTCCGGTTGAGCGGTCTCTTTGTCCGGAACTCTCCAGCGACCCTTGACCCACGTCACTCTATTCTTGAGCAGTGCATCAGCCACAAGAGCGAGCCTCGACTCGCCGTCGAAATTCGACAACAGCTCGCGAAACACCTCGATCTGGATATCGGGAAACACAGCGGCCAGAGCCTCGAGGCTGTTGTTGAGTTCGCGTAGGTCAGGTCTCTCGGGTGGCAGGCATGGTAGTTGGGCTTCGTCGTAGATGTACTCGGGCTGAACAAGGTTGGAGTCGCTCGACTTGGACCGGACAGAGGGTGTTCTGGTTCTATCGGTGGAGGTGGAGGTGGAGGTGAGCAGCCCGGGGAAAACCATCGTGACTGCTCATTCTGGTGCGTGTTCGCGTGAGGTTTGCTGATGGAAGTGGTAAATGGCGGTGGTGATGGTAATGGTAGTGGTTGACGGAGGATTAGGTAAGGTGTTTTGAGGCGTTGAGCTGAGGAATGAGGCTTGCGGCAGTTGGTTGGGGTGCAGAGCTGAGTATTTTTAATCAAGAAAAGGAAAAAAAATTAATGGGAATAGTTGGAGCTATTAAAATGCATCATGCTATTCATTCAGCTGTTACATATCGTGACTGTCTAGAGACAGCTGGTTAAGTGTCATGCTAAGTTAGAGGCGGCAAGTTGTAATAAAGCTTGTAATACGATTGCTGAAACAGCACAGGCTCGAATAGGTAACTGCCATTCATCGACCTACTTGACTGCGAGGTTATTCCAGGTTTCAGAGACTTGAACTTTATTATATGTGAATATTTTACTTTGCTTAATAGGAACCAGAGTGTTGTGCCTTGACTTGTTACGGATCCTGAAAGTGTAAAGCATGCAGGATTGTTTATATGCCCTATATCAGATGCACTTGACAGTTAGCACCGTACTCTGCACAGGGATATGGAAAAATTAAAAGTGACTTACTGATGAAGTTATATTAAAAGTAGATAGTTGATAGCCTAATTGCTTATCACTGACTATACCTTGACTAGAAAGCTTTCCCTAAAACATATCTTTATACCTTAGAACTGCTTCTCATTAACGTCAGATGCTGTCTCACAAGCAATGAACAATATCAACCAGGAGATAGACAAGCTTGATCACCTCGGTAAGTAACTTATCTCAACTACCTGAGGTAGGTAAGGTAGCTAACTGGTAGATGCCAGAGAGCCTTCGCATCGCAAACAAGGCATTGGCGCACTGTTAATACGGAAAGCTTTCTCAAGGGCAGAAGCGGAAGGCGTGGTACTATATCTCTGCTCTGAGCCAGCAGCTCACGATTTCTACAGGAAAAGAGGTTTCCAAGATATCATACACGCCGATATTGACCTCAGCAAGTGGGCGCCTCCTTATAGTGGCTTTGGCCTGTTTAGAGGGACTGGAATGACTTGAGCTCCATCAAAGGAACGAAGCTGGTAGTTGCAGTCCTACTATGTCGACTTAAAAGCATATACCGATACCTTGGCTTCACACCTTGGAATTGATACGTACCAGTACATTAAACCCAAATACTTGAGGACTTTTTCGTGTTTGACAGGATTGTGATTGGTATATGCTAACGTTGGTAGACAGACCAGCCAAACCCCGATCTCTTGTGTTGGTTGAACAGGAGCCTAGAAGCTTACCTTGACGACTCAAAAAGGCAGGAGAAATAAAGGATATGCTATGTACCTATGTACGCAAACCGTCCAAGTGATCCGCCGTTGCTGCACCCCACGGTTTGGTTGGTAACATTGACGGAGATGATCACCACACCAGATCGACAACCCCGCAATGTTAACCCATCTCGAAACTATCTAACTATTCAGACGACAGAATCAGGGACCTTGATTGTTCCTCGCTCACCTCCATTCTTGGAGTCAGAAGGAGCTCACACGAGAATACCACGACAATGGGCGGTCAGACAAGGCAGCTCGTATGTCAAGCCCAGAAACTGACTCGTCAAATCAGGATACTTGCTGCGTACGGGAAGAAACTGTCATAGTATCACTGAGTAATATAAAGGTGGCAGCGTGGGCGGCCATCATCATCATCTCGAAACCGCCGACTCAAAATTAAGATTGCAGAATGCCTGTTTCACGTCACTCTGCTGCACAATAAGCACCGTTCATCTGCGCAGTCAAAGTCATCCATCACATCTGCAGCGATGCAGCACTTCCAACCCCTCCTCTTCAATCTTCAGCATGCACCATTCGACATGCTTGATGCAGGCACGGGGGTTTGTGACCAAAGTCCCATCATGAAGTCAATGACCGGCCCGAGGCTTCGCAAGCGGTGAGATGAAGTTGACAGCATCAAAGGTTAGCGCGCCGCCAGGGTTTTAGACCTTGTGCGGCTAATGATCGATCATTTCGCGCTTAGAAGGTTGGATGAGTCTAGCAATGAGTTTAGAACAAGTCCGTTGATTTTGATAGCTTGGCTGACGTGAAGCCTTGTGTTTTGATATCATTAATCAATCACATGCTGAAAGTAATGGCAACTAACTTTGGAGAAGTCTAGGGAGCGACACAACATGTTGCAATATCTCTAGATGAGACTGAACTGACGACAAGGCTATAGATCTTTGTCAGATCCGCAGCCAGTCGTTCCTTGCAAATGCAGGCATTGCAGGCCCATTTCTCGCTGAGGATCTCGCTCCTTGTCAGCCGCTAGTTCTGCATTACCTACATCAAGCCCGCTAGACCACTTGTCAAGGACTCAAGCCTCTTGGACATCAAAGCTTGCACCCGAAATAGTCATCGTTGAGATTGTGCGAGACTACGACTACGTATGTACATATGTACACGGAGTCCTAACGGCAGCGCCAAGTCCGAGCCCTGACATGGGTTTTCAGGGATGACGACGATCTTGTCCCGTCATTGTTGGCTATGCTCAAACAAGCGAAGTGAGTGAGAAAAAGGGGTCTCTCGGCGATGGGCTCGGCACAAGAGCCAACAGTCGGCCAGCTCCACTCCCTGGGAGGGGGGAAACTTGGGAAGCACGCGACTTTGTGCAGGATAAAGCCCGTCGTGCATAAACTGCTGCGGAGGAAAAAGCAAATTCCCCATGATATGATGATGTGAGCTTTGCATTGGCTCCAAAAAGTTGGCATGTGCTATGAAATGAAGTGCTTTGATGCTTGTATGTAAGTGCATACATGGGATGTTTGATGTTACATTGAATACCTTGCGGACAAAGCCAAATCGACTGATGATCACTGATCCGAGAAGACAAAAAGGAAAAACCGTTCGCTCGTGGCGTCTGTCTCGGACGAATGATGTTGCTGAAGCGACAATATACCGAGGGTGTATTTTTGGCTCCCAGATCTACTATGGGGCACTGCCGCATGTTGATGATATTACGAATACTGCAGCTGGAGCTGAAAAGTTTTGGCTTGCAAGTACCGTGCCGTTCAACAGAACCACTAGAGAGGCTCAAGAGCCGGCATGAGAACGGCCCCCGTGAGGATACGTACTGTACCCAAGATGAAGGCCCAGCCTTTTGGCTTGTGTTTCATATCACACAGTGCCTCACGGTTGGGCGCTTGCATGTGCATCCGGAGGTGCTCATGAGACCTCAATTCCGAGGCACTATGTATATACGACTTTAACTAGAGGGTGTGATTGTCTCGACGATCTTTGTTGCTGCAACGGTCTTTATTTTCCTCATGACGGGGTCTGATTCCTTGATGAAGCACTTGGCAGCAATCCTCATCTCTCTAGGGTCAGAACGTGGTTTCGTCATTCATTATATTCGACGGGGAGATCGATCAAGGACGATACGCACTGTTGACGTATGAAGTATTTCTCTTCCTACCTAGTCAGGCACCGAAACCCGAGCATCGATGCCTATAGCGCCGCAGTTGTGCGTTTTATTAAGGGTTGACCACCTTATTGCTCCAGATAATCGCCTGTGCGGTCGATTTACTGTAGATCCCGTCCGTATTGCACCATTTCCCTGATCTGGTTGTTAGCCACGCGACAAGGACTCTCTCTAGCTCTGTCTGCTTGCTGAGCATTACAGTATTCTTACCGACTGACTATCAAGTGCCGCTGGGCGTCATCAGAAGTTGCCCAAGTCAGCCGTGGTCAGCCACCTCATCTTGGACGGAGCACAGCATCCACGGCAGTCAGGCTGGACCAACGATCCGTCATCTGTGACAGTTTTGCTGTGGCTTTCAGCTGAGGTGGATTATCTTGCATTTCATAAGCAGCCAAAGTTCTATTCAGGGGGGGCTGTGACGACGGAAACGCCTTGGCTGAGTATGATTTCTCACCATAAGCTTTTGGGACATTGATCATTTCGAGGTCTAGATCCGCCATTTGAGTATTACCAGTATTATTCAACTTGGGCAAATGTTGTTTACCTGGGCTAGTAGGTGTTGCAGCCGCATCCATGTCCATTTCTGCTGCTGTTGCATCGTTCTCGTCGCCGCCACTATTTCCATTGCTCCACTTTCCGTCACCCCGGCCCTGCACATTTCGTAGGACTGCGATCTTCAGTGACAAAAAGGACTCAGGTAGATCACCCGTCAAATCAGGGAGCTACTCAGTTGATTTATTTTGGCACCCTCTGTCAAAGAAACTTTCATGTCCCAAAAATATACGCCAATACGATGTACAACAGATACGGCCGGCCCCGAAAAAGATGAACCAAGCCAAGAAAAAACACTGGACATCAAATCACAGAAAACGAGGGATCTACGGACATCAGTTACAGTCTATCACACGGTGCCTGATTCTGGAGTTACCCAGAAAAGCGCCACAGCCCGTATCTTTTCAGCCGCTTCACGGCGAAGCCCAAGCTCAAGCTCAGAGCAATGGGAGCAAAGTAAGGCCTTGATTTCTTGTCTCAGTCACTGCCAGGGACAAAGCAGCAGCACCAGCAGCAGCAGCAGCACCAGGACAGGGTCCGGTGCTTGTCTGCAAGAATAAAGCCGTGCAGTAACTAAGCCAAGCTTAGCTCAGGTGCCTAGGTTCCCCCCTGGGCCCCCCTGTCCTGGCGCTGGCGCTGGACATCCACCACACCTAACCAGCCGCCTCCTCCACCGCTACAACTGGAGAGTGAATGCACTGGCTTTGGGCGGGATCCTGGTTTAGCAGACTGCTCAGCCTTACTTAGTCGCGGTGAATGGGTCCTTGGGCCTTGGTCAATATTTACTGGAGGTATCCGTACTCCGTAGGTACTGTATGTATTTGGCTCAGCTTGGGATATATAACTTTGGTCCTCCCCCCTCCCATCGATTGTTCTCTTCCTGCCTGCATTCTCTACTGGTGCATCTTGAACTTTGTCTGCAGACGTGGCTGTTCGTGTGCGTGCTCGCGTGATTACCACCCTCTTATATATTTAAGAGTATTTCGTAGACAGGCGGACTTGTTGGTTCGCCTTCCCACGCTCGCATTAACACCTACGTACCTATACACGGACACGCCAAATCATGAGAGGAGGCCTTTGGAACAGCTTAGAACTGAGGATTGGACGACCAAACATTGCATCTTGCTGCCCATAAACGAAACGATGAACCGAGATATGAAGCTGGATGTTGAGTCCATCATGACCGACCAAGACAAGAACGGCCGCTATGAGGGCTACTTCGCCTATCGACCACTATCCAACCTACCTACACCGCCCCCAAGCTCGCGCAACTCATCCGCGGCTCAATCACCACGAACTACACTTGACGACGGAGAGCCATTGATGCCTCGATTTCGAGGTAAGTGGTAGCACTAGCACGGCTGGCAGAGGATCAAGCACTGTTGATGTGTAACATCACGTTGTTGATCTCCTGTCATGTCACCCAGCGTACAAAGCTTGTTTTACTAACACGCTATCCGTATAGGCCCTGCAATCCACCTTGTCAACCTCATCCCGTCATCTGCCTCTCTGGCCACGGCCTCTGTCCCTCTTGTTCAGGCCATCCTGAGCCGCGCCAATCTCTCGATCGAGACCGTTGCTCTCGCAGTATGCATTCTCGATAGCCTCGACTCCCGCTTCGCCCGACGATGGCGCCTCTCGTGCCCCCTGCTTTCCGGCTACTTCTCCTCCACCTCTAAGCGACACACTCTCCCACCGACGCCCATCATGCCTCAACGACAGCAGTTACACATCGACTCAGTCAACCCCGAGCTCATCATTCTGGCAGCTCTTGTCATTGCGGTCAAGTTCATGGAAGATCCTCAGGAGGCTTCCCAGTACTATTGCAAAGCCTGGGGCCGGGGCATGTGGTCAACCGAGCAGCTCAACACCACCGAGCGATGCATCATGGAGAACCTCAACTACCGCATCATGCCCCTGTGCGACGAAGACTGTCTGACGGATGCTATGGTGGATATGCAATATGCTGCACAGCAGCCCCAATGGGACATCAACGAGCATATGCCCGCGGATAGTGATGACGAGAGCGACGACAGCAA